TTGTAATATATAATGAAATAATTATACAACTCACCATAATGCAGAATCAGAGGGAGCCCTGAGCTTGCTTCCCTGCGACTAGACAGTCCCACCTGAGAGTGATGGGAGGCGGTGACACCCAAAGTATGTTGCTCACTTGCCACTATAAAGCCTGTCACCAGATGCAGCTTAATTGTCACTTGCCACTCACTGATAGGGTTTTGCTATGAGTCTGCAAGCAGTTGATTTATTATGGTCTCTGTGCAGTCAAACCTCTCTGCTAATGATAATCTGTATTTGCAGCTGCTCCCCAGTGCTAGCATCGTTGCCTCAGCTCCACCTCAGATCATCAGGCATTGGATTCTCATAAAAAGCACATAACCTAGATCCCTCGCATGCACAGTTTACATTAGAGTTTGCACTCCTATGAGAATCTAATACTGCTGCTGATCTGACAGGAGGCGCAGCTCAGGCGGTGATGCGGGTGATGGGGAGCAGCTATAAATGCAGATGAAGCTTCACTCTCTTGCGCTGCTCACCTCCTGCTGTGCACTTGGTTCCTAACAGGCCACAGGCCGGTGGTTGGGGACCACACTTTATGGCATTGGAAACATAGTTATAGAACAGATAGCAAAAATAGGTTCTTTGCTTTGGAGGGGGATAAGGAATAAACACATGAATGAGCAGGATAATAGCTGTGTTAACATAAAGGGTATATGCTAAAGAGTAAAGGGAGAAAGACTTCATTAGTTATGGTCAAAAAAGCCCTCTTTTAGAAGATGACATTTAAGTGAAAACCTAAAGGATGAGATGATTTTGTCATGTGAAGAACTTAGAAAAGAGCATTTCAGGCAGAGGGAACACCACATACAAGGGCTTGAGATGGGAGCAGGACTAGCACATGTGACATATATGAGGGAGACTGATGTCACTGGCTTTAAGTGAATGAGGAAAAGGGTCAGATGTATAGAAGTTATTGAGCAGGGCAGTGGCAAGATGACTCAAAACAAAACTCTTGATCACATTCAGTGCCTCAGGATGGGATTTCTCCATCCAGAAAATGACTCTAACAGCTGCCCAGCTGATCAGCTCGAAACCTTGGAATCTCTATTGACTTAACTTTGATTTCCTGGTTTCTCAGTTGACTTCCTCCCTAATTAGAATGAATCCTCAAGTCATGTCTTCTCAACTTCCCAAATATTTCTCCCAATTCTAGCCACTTCCATCAATGTACACTGCTATCATCTGAGTTTTAGCCATCACAAGCTCTTCACTAAAATGGTCCATTAACCTCCTTGCTGTACTGCTTGTTTCTACTCTCACTGCCCTACAATCCATTCTTCAATTTGTAGTCAAAAGGATCACTCAAAAAGATTCTTGTGATCACGTAATTCCCCTGTTCAAAACTTTTAAATAATTTCTCACTCTTGGAATAAAATATCTTATCATGTTATATATCTTATCATAATATAAGTTACTTTCTTAGCCTTATGCCTTTGGCATGTTATTAATGAGCACAACCGGCTGTGATCTGCATACTGCCAAGCAGGAAGTCCAAATGCCACTAATTCCCTTACAGTTCTTACTGGGATTTTGGTTTTATTCAGAGAATTACTGTTGTACAAAGTACTTCTTAGTCATTAATTTAGTGCTATTTCAATATGATTTATTTTTGTTCTTCTTTTATTTTGCCATGATAACTCTGCTTTTTCCTGTTGACTAAAACAATTTCCTACCTCCTTGAAGGATGATTAAGCAATGGTTTATCAATGTATCTAATCACTCTCTGTTTTGTTACTTTGAACTGAATGATTTCCAACCTTTTGGCTTTTCCTTAGTCTAAAGTTAAAGTTGCTAAATACCGCAGGAAAAAAATCTTTAAAAGCACACAAAATTACTTATTTACTTC